AGGCACAGTGTAAGCACCACTGCTGCTCCAGCTGAGCTTGGGCATCCCACCATCTTCCTGGACCACTCTGAGCCCAAGCCTCCGTGCCTTGAGAGCTCAGAGCTCTTCATGGCATCTCCAGGGCAAACCAGACAGCTTCAGGAGCTGTCAGAGAACCCTGTGCATATCTGCAAAAAGCTGGGAAGCAGGAATGTGGATGAACAGCAGATCAAGAGCTGTGTCAACAAGATACTCTGAGAGACCAGTCCCTCACACTGACTGCTCCCTGTGCCAGCACAGGAAATGGAGGCACTTGTCTTCCTTGCTGTGTGCACTGTTTTTTGTATGCTGGGGTGCAAGGACTGTAGGCACAGTCCCAGCTGGAGAGGGGAAATGGAGCTAGGCACAGGATCAGGGAGGCCAGAGAAAACGGATGCCTCCCCTGGCACAGCCATGCTCCAGCCATGGAGCTGCAAAACTCAAAGCCAGGATGGGGTGGAGCAGCCTCAAGGGGGCCATGAAACAGCCCAGCGGGAGCCTTGCAGGAGCTGAAACAATCAAAAGCAGCCAAAGCACTGAGGAACCCCCGGGGTTGCGTGTTGGCCCTTGCAAGACAAGGATGGAGCAATAGCTGGTTGGGTCCACCAGCTCCTCCTAAGCCTTGAGGCCTCAGGCAAAACTCATGGAAAGCAAAGACTCCTGCAGACCTCCCCAGCAGCCGGGGGCTGGCCCTGGCCCTGTGAGGAAGTCTGGAGAGGTTCCAGCTGGCCCGGGCACCCTGCGTGACAGCGGCTTGTGAAAAACCACTCTGGGCCACTGGGCCGGGCCGTCCCTGGGGACCTTTGCAGGGCTGTTGCAGCATAGCTGTTGTGAGCTCTGTCACAACACTGGCACGGCACTGGGCTGGACCACAACGAGGACCCTTCATGACAGCCCTTTCTGGTTTTCCCTATCCATTTTTGCAGGAAGGTAAGGGCTGAACTACGCCTTTCATGATGTTACTGAATTCAAAAGGGACCGATGCCCATGCCAACCTTCATCAAAAAGGGACTGGTGATGTGCCTTTGGGACTATTGGTCTGGCTAGGATGAAAGCCCTCTGTCCCAAAGGAAGGGGATGGTGAAAGCACAGGAAGGCAAAGGAAACAGCTGGACAGGCAGAGCCACGCCAGCCCGGGGGCTCCAGGGATGCCGTGCCAGCCCTACTGCCCCCACCTGCTCTTCTGTGAGCACATCCACGCCCCTCAGGCTGCCAGCAGCATGGCAGGCAGCAGCCCTGAGCCCTGTCTGGAGCTCCCCAAGGTGGGATGACACTTAGCTACAGCTGAGCACAACACTCCTCAAAGTTAATGGGTCAGAAGATCCTCCCCAAACAGCTGCAGAGAGGATGGTCCACCAAAGCTGGAAGCTTCTTCCTTCCCTTCTTCCCCTCAGTGTGTGTCATCAGCGCTGGCTCCTCAACAAGGGTTGGCATGCTTTGTTTGCACTTTGGGAGGTGAAATAAACCAGAAGATGCCCAAACGATTTTATTTCCACCATAAGGATTTCATTAGATGGCGGAGCCCTGAACTTTCCCACCTCTCCCTATACGGCAATCTCTGCGGGTCCATAACAATTTTCATTAGGCAGTTTCTATTTTGGCTCTCTCTGTACTGAGAGGAATGGACCAGAGCTGAGCAGCCTCTGGGGAGCCCCAGGCTGATTTCCAAAGTGCTTTCAGCATCCTCCCTTCTCCTGGCCAATGCAGTCTTGCCTGCATGCAGGCCACCGCCACCTGCATGGGACAGCCCCATGTCCAACCTGTCAGATCTCCTGAGATCTCTCCAGCCTTCTTGTCCTCTCCAAAAGCATCTTTAGGAAACATGTATGAGCAGGTGGATGTGATCTTCCCCTGCCCAGACTCTTCCAAAATTCCTCAAGAGCCTTTTCAGCAATGATCAATGCCCGCTGCAGCAAGCCCAAGCTGTGCTGGTCAGATGTGACCAATGTAACCTCAGTGAGCAGTCCTGGTAATACAGAGGCAAATCAGGTCTTGGCAGATTTCTTGTCTCTTTTTTCCTGGATGCCCCCAACTCAAACACCAGAGTAGAAGGAGTTTTTTTTTGCCACGCCCCAGACTCGTACCATTAGAGGGAAGGAATTGCACCTTCCAGCCCAGCCCAGCCCAGCCAACCACCTGTACTGGAGAGCTTGGCAGATGCTCCAGGGATTGCAGGTGCTGTGACCTTCAAAAAGAGCCCACAGCTCACCCCATTCCACTGCCATGCCAGGGTGACTCAGAGACCTGGGAAGCAGTCAAACTTGAGAGACAATTCCTAATTACACACTGATCCCTGCAAACCTGCTACTAATCTCCAGAGGAATTTTCCTTTTTCCATGGAAATGGTCCATGGGAATCTGGCTGTTGGAGAAGACTCTACCACAACTGCAAGGCATCTGCCCTTCCCCACCTTCATAACCTGGATGGGAGAAGAAAACCATCCCTGGGAGGTGCAGAGAGATTTGCTGGTAGAAACTCAGGTCATAAGGTCATGGCATCCCTGGCCAGAGAGATTTGGTGATTTTCACACATGCAATGCTGTGGTAACCACAGGAACAGTTAGAAAAACCAAAAACTCTCTAAACATCCCAGCAAGCCAACTCAGACATCCCAGGGCTAATCCCTTATGCTGGCATTGTATCAGCATCCCAAATGCTGCTGAAGATCCTGTGTGCTGCCTATAGGGAAGAGCTCTCATACCATCCAAGCTCTGCGCTTGGCTGTATCTTGGGCAGGGGCAGAGCCACCCTCTTTCATGTCTAAACAAGAGGAGGGGAAACAAGCTGTGGGAGATGCAGAAATTTTCCAAAGGGAGGAAGAGAAGAGGCACAAGCCGGCACCTGCCCCTCCCGCGGGAAGCATCTCGCAAGGGGTTTTCCTCCAGAGCCAAACCCGCGGGAGAAGGGGAGGCAAGAATCCCTTGGCTTGCTTAGCCTAACGAGGAAGCTATAAATATAGCAGGGTAAACACCAGAGAGGGAGAAGAGGTCTTGAACTAAAAGCACAATGTTGGCACAAACCCACAGGGGAATAAGCTCTCCAGGAACGCATTCAGCAGGAAACCAGAGGGAGGTTGAGGCCTGTGTGAGCAGGAAGAGCCTGGAGTTGCCTTTGAACAAGAGCAGGGTGGAAATAAAGGGTTTAAACTGAGTGCTCAGCTAGTTCATGGCAGGTGAGGATGTCACGCACTGCGGCCATCCGTGAGGGTTTCCCCACTCAGGATGGTCCAGGTGAGCTCTGTGAGAGGGACAGGAGAGGCAGGACACCTTCATGTGTGGGCTGCAGCTGTGGGGCCACCTCGGTGCCCACCCAGCATGACAGCTTCTGATAAGCCCAGCAGCTGCAAAGGGGAACTGCTGCTGCTGCTGCGATGAGAACGGCGCAGAGACTCAGTGCACTGTGAGTCATTCATTCATCCCTCACAAACAGGGCCTGCACTGGCCAAGCATCCTCCTCCCCCCGCCGCCGGGACAGCTTGCTGGGACAGGGAAAAAGTGGCTTATTAGATATAATCAAGTCAAGTTTTCCCCTCCCTGTGAGGTTCCTCTTCCTGGAATAGGAAGCGCAAGACCAGAGCTGCTTTTCTTCCACCTTCCTGCAGGCTCTGCCATTAGCTGCACCCTCCAGGGAGCCCTCCCCACCACCCCACTGAACCCCACATACCCTGTTCACCCACTGCTGGTGACATCCAACCCTGAGAACAGCCCTGCTGTCACCAGTTTGACCCTGTCCCCCAGCTCCAGTCCCATTTTTGCTGCCATGCTTGGTTTGCAGCTCTCTGGAGAGCACATATTGCCCCTTTGTTTCTGCCCAAAAAGTGTCAGGTTGGTGAGGCAGAGGGTGTATAGCTGATGAGGAGGAATTGTGGCCATATCTCATCCTCGTCCCTACCACAGGAGGTCCTCCACCAGCTCCCAGCTCCCTCTGAAGACCCTTTCCCTGTGCCAGGCTGGGATGAAGTGTGCCTCATGTCACTGCACATGCCATAACCTAGCTGTGACCTGCCCTCCTGCAAACAGGTAGAGGGCAAACACGCCACCTCCCGCTGCAAACACAACAGCCAGACGTGGGGCAGCCACCTCCTGGCACACAAGGAGCTTGGGCAGCCCCAGAAGTCTCAGCTCTGGCTATGCAGTCCAGCACCATTTTGTGTGCATGAAAACACATCTGTGAGCTGCTGCAGCACCGGGCTTCTTCCCATCCATGGGGACCAGGCACAAGGTAACCTCAGGCCCCATCACAGTGGGGTCAGAGTTGCTGACAGAGATGTCCAAGCCAAGCTCAGCGCCTTGGACACCTCTGACATCTCTCACCAGCCCAGAGGCAGAGCTGGTGGGGACCTGGTGGGTGACACAACCTGTCGGTGAGGGTGGTGGTGGGCACAGCCCAGTGCTGGCCACTCACGGGGCTGGCACGGACAGAGAAGCTGGGATTGACACAGCATCCCGGGGCAAGGAGGGACAAGGCAGGCAGAGCCCTGAGCCCTGCCAGCGCCCGCGCATGGGAAAGCGCCTCTCTCAGCGCCTCTCCTAATTGGGAGCAGCTTTTCCCTGGACCCCCCAGGAGAAGAGGGGGCCCTGCCAGGGGAGAGGCTTTGCCTGGCATTCCAGAAAACTCCCTTCAGACACAGTAGGGGTGTCCAAATCGGGAATGGTAGGAAGTGGTCTGTGGAGGCTGGGGAAGGGGCTCAAACATGCCAGCCCAGGAACATCAAACCCCGAGCATCTCCGGGCAAGGCGGAGGCGCGGAGGGCGGAGAAGGGGGAGCAGCACTGGGAACTCACAAGCAGCCGGGAGGGCAGCTGCTTTGCGAGGGGGCACAGACACACAGACATCCACACACACACCCGCACAACTTTCTCCAGCCGGGCAGCAAACAGCTCCGGGAGCTGCCTGGCCGCAGCCGCGCGTCCCTCACCGCGAAGTCGGGGCGGCGGCGGCCGCTCGTTCCGCTCGGCGGCTGGGGACCGGGGATGTTCCCTACCTTCCTGCGTGGCGCCGCGGCTATGTGTCCATGGCGCTATCGGAGCGGGAGCGGAGCGGCAGCGGGAGCGGGAGCGGGGCGCCCGCACCGGGCTGGCTGGGGCCGGTAGCGCAGGCGGCGCGAAGCCGCCGGGGCTGCCGCCGCCGCTCCATTGGAGCAGGGCTCTGCCAATCTGCCGCCACCACCCCGGGACGCTTCCTGCCTGTGAGCCGCCCCCCGGGACCGGGAGGCGTCCGAAGCCCGCGCCCACCGCTTGCCCGGGATTCGCGGGGCTCCCCCCCGTGTCAGTCCGGCCGGAGCGCTGGCATGGGGATCCCACCGTGGCGCATTGATGTGCTGTGCCCTCCGGGGCGCGGGTGTCCCCCCGAGGCTCAGGAACGCCCCCGAGGATGCACAGCCCTCTCCGGTGCTCTCGGGGGTCAGCATTCACCAACCGTGCCTGCCCCCATCCCTGCATCCCATCAGAGTGGAGGCAGGCAGGTCCTGCTGTGACTCAGTTTCCCTTGCCCCTGGGCTGGCCATTTCTTTGGGGTTTATTATTGTGGTAGTTTATTTGATGGGGAGCATGCAGGGTGAAATCTGGCCCTGGGGTTTGTGTCCCTGAGTTGAAGAAAAGGCTCGTTCCTCCTCGCAGCTTGTGGTGTGTGCTTGCATCCCTCTTTTGCAGGACACGTCCACCACCCAAGCTGCTTTCCCTTGGAAATGGGTTTGTTTTGCCATTTTATTGCAGTGAAAATTCTTGAGAAGAAAAAGATTTGTTGGAATTGTGCAGCAGGAAGTCAGCTGGTGAAGACCCACTGGGAGCTTTCGTCTCTGGTGGCACCTCAGGCCAGGTCTCCTTTGGGGTTTCCCCATGTGATGCCATCAAGGCTGGCACTGCTGGAGCCCTGGGACGCACCCAGTGTTTCCCTCCCCACATTGTCTCTGCCTGTGCAGAGATATTGGCCACATATTCCAGGTGTGTGCAGCACCCATACAGCACTCCCCCTGCAAAAACAGGGCTGGCAGAAATGAACAGGGTCACAGAGTCCTTCTGCAACCTTACAGTGATAAACTGATCCTTGCCATATCCAGGTACATCCCTGAGCCCCTGAACCTCGAGTAACAAAAGACTACCTGCTGTTTTCCAGTCCTATCTCTTCAACACCACAAAAATACACCCATGAGCTATCCCACCTCCTGAGCATCAATATGATAACAAACTAGTGTTTTCCTTCATCCCAGCTCAACCCCACCATATCAGGCTTTGGGAGAGGTGGAGGCTATGTGTGGGGTGAGCAGTTCCTGGCTCCTGGCTGCACTGTGAGTGCTGAGCTCAGCCATGGCTGAGGCTTGGTGCCCACATCACCCAGGGCATAGCCCAATGTGGCACATCTGCTTGTGGCTGAGGCTGCTGCCTCACCAGCCACACGTGGCCAGCTCCATCCCACCTGCACTACGAGAGCTGGGGATGTGCCAACGCTGGGGATGTCCCTCCTTGAGTCACCTCACGTGGCCTTCAGGTGCTTTGCAGGTGGGCTCTGGTTCCACCAGCCTGCTCACATCTTCCCTCAGCTGGTGGCTCATGTGGATTTCGGGAGCCTGGGGGTGTAGGAGGGGCTGGTCCTGGGCAGAGAGAGATTTCCTCCATCCAGCTCCGAACTTTCCCCTTCCCATCTCCCGATACTGCTCTGCTCTCTGCATCCTGCGCGAGCTGAGGGACCCTGAGCATCCTCCAGGATAGCCAGCTCCTGCGGAAGGAGCGGAGTTGGACGGGCTGCAGCAGGCATTTGGCCCTGGTTGCTGTCCCGGGAGCAGCCCCCGAGCTTTGCCCCGTGCCTGCTCGCGGTGCTGGCGGCGCACCGGGAGCCGGGCTGCTCGGCGCCACCGCTGGCCGGCCGCCACACGCTGCTTTCCCCGCCGCTGCAGCGCTGCAGAGCCGAGCCCAGCATCTGGGGAAACCCCAGCTCTGCCGGGCCCGGGCCACCCTTGGGAGTGAGAATCTGAGAGCAGAACCTGATCCGGAGGGTGTCTGTGCAGGGGGCTGGAACTGGCCCTGTCAGGGGCGTGCTGGGAGCAGGGATGTAGTGGGGATCTGGACTGTTGTTGGGCTACCAGCTCTGAGCAGAGCTAGAGAGCTGCAGTCTTGGGTGAAGGAGGAGGAGGTTTGATAGTGATGCGGGGTCTGATGGATGAGCAGGGCACTTGATGGGGCTGCATGCACCTGAGGGTCCTTGGAGCGGGATGTCCCTGGCACGGGGCAGCTCTGACATTGCAGCTCTTCCTCTGCTCCATCCTCAGGCTCAGATGAGGATCATTGGCTCCACACACCTCCCTACTGCTTCCTTCTGCTATGGCAAAAGGACATGTTCAGGCTGCCTGCAGCATCCTGTCCTACAGCTGGTCTCCTTCTCAGCAGCCCGAAAGGACGGAATTTAGGGACCTCCCTTTCCTCTTGAGCAGAGAGGAAGCTGACAGCTCTTGTCCAGGTAGATCAAGGCTTGGACATGTGAGCAGACATCTGGGGGTTGAATTACACTACCACAAACCCATGCAGGACAAGCTGAACTGGGCCATCACATAAGAGCTGTGTGCTGCCCTACCTCCCTGTTGGCAGCTTTGCGTGCCTTGCTGCTGCTGCTGTGTGCTCAGGGATGTCCTGAGATCTTTGCCAGAAGGAAGCTGGTCACATCCATGAGCTGGGCTCCCATGTGCTGGGCTGGGTGAGGAGATTGAGAGGTTTGGGATCATGAGCTCAAGACCTGGAGCTGGGCCAGACTTGAAGTGAGAGGTGTCATGCTGATGTGCAGGTGCCCTGTCATGGTGATGTGCTGAGGGAAGGGGACGCTGGTCCGCAGCCCTGCTGGCTGAGTTAGCACTCGCTGGATTTCTGCCTGTGTGATGTGAGGGGAGCAGATGCATGGATGGAAGAGGACTATGGGGACTGGAGATGAGTGCATCGGAAATCTGGGGTGTCCTCTCATGGTTTCTGTGCAGAGGGGACTGCCACAGGGTGTGTCTCCTCATGAGCAGGCCTGGCTGATGGTGTGAAGCCTCTCCCAGTACCCATTTCAGGGCTGCCTGTCTGAGGATCCTCTACAACCCTGCAGCCTGGGCAAGGATGGGGCACACACGTACTGTAACCCAACCCCAGTGACTGTCCCTGACATCCCAGAGACACAGGTGGTCATCCCAGAGCTGCAGGTGCCTGCTGGATGAAGGCATCTTGGGGCAATGGGGCTGTGCCCTTCAGCACCAGTGTATTTGCCCTGTGTGGGACTTGCCCTGTGAAGCCTCCTGCTCAGTGGCTTTGCTCTGGCTGGCTTGGCATGTGTCCAGGCTCTGGCTGACGTGCTGTGGGCATGGCCCCGTCTGAAGTGCAGGCTTGTTGTGTGTTTACCCTGGCCAGCCTGAGGTGTACAGGAAACCAGAGAGCTCTGCTCCCTGGCTGTCACTTTATTTATTATGGTCACAGCTTGGGCTGCCCACATTGTGAAATGAAGGTAGCAAAAACCCCAAGTGCTGCAGTGCTTGCCCTGCCAGCCCTGCTCTGCTCTGATTCACACCATCAGAGCTATCACACTATCCTGGAGCTGGGAGCAATCCTGACCTGGAGCAAAAGGCAGGAGGCTCAGTGCTGTGCAAAGACCATCCTGTTCGAGATGGGGTGGCTTCTCCCAGATATGTCCAGACACACTGTTAAGTATTAAATTTCTCTATTTTCCTGGTGCCTCTAGCCTCAGGACCTTCATCTTCTCATGACCCTGTGCCATAGACAAATTGCTGATGGATGCCCAAACCAATGCCACATCACAGACAGTACCTGTACCAACACCCGGACGTCCCAGTCTGGCTACATCTTCTCTGGCTCTTCACTTCCACTCTGCAAAACAGCAGTGAGCATTGCCCGAGTTCTGCACTGCTGCTGCTCCAGGGACTTTCATCCACCTGACCTTGAAAGGAGGAGTGGGGAGCACAGCCCAGCTGCCACTGCAGTGCTCAGAGCCCAGGCTCACTCTTTGGACCCCAGTTTTTTGTTGCCTGTGGCCCTCAGCTTCACAGAGCCTGGTCCACCCCTGCTGCTGTGGCAGGCCCTCACCCCAGAGAGGACACCACAGCAGTGACTATAGTTGCTTTAAGGGTGGAGTTTAAGGTTTGGAGGCTGCTGAGGGCTGGGAACACCTCCATGTGGGGCTGGGGACAGATGCCTTTCTGGCGACTTGAACCACCCCAGCTGCTCCCACCACTGTGCACTGCAAGCAGCTGGGAGGCAGCGTGGGAAACACTGCATGCTGAGAGACACGGGCGAGCTCTCAGCTGAGGAGGGAAGCACAGAGAGGTGCCTTACACTCATGGCTGTTTACAGGGCCTGCCCTCCTGCCAGGGCCTGACAGGCAGCAGCAAGGGCTGGGCTGGCCTTTCGGGAGTGCAGTCCAAAACCACCAGGGAACATGAAACAAAACCTCCCCAGCCCTCAGAGGGCTCCTGGTCCCTGCAGGGTCACATGGCTGGCTGGATTGCATTGCTATTAAAGGGAGAAAGTGCTAGTGAGCTGATAAACAGGGGAAAGCCAGCCAGCTCCTGAAACCATGGACAACTTGGCAGCCCTTCTCCCAGGACAGGCAGCTGGGTGCTGGAGCCTGCTAAACAAGGCTCAACACTTGGTCTGAAATCATTGACACAGTGCTTTGAGTCACAGAGAGTTAAACCTAGGAAGGGGAGACATTTGCCTTTTAAGGATGATTTTAAGAGTTTGATATTAGTTTTGTTGTATTTAGGCATCTTAAATTTCTAAGACGTGCTTTTTTTACCAAAATAAAATCGAGGCAGACATTCACTGAAGGACCATGGCAATATTTGAGTATGACTTTTTCAATGCATTAAATTTACAGGATGAGATAGCAAGCAAAAACCAACCCAAAGAACATGAGAATTTGTTTACAAAGGAAAAACGGGAGTGTTCTGGAGGGTGGATTTCTCTCCTGGCTCTGCACAGTGCCTGCTCTCAGCATGTGGATGCTGCCCATCTCCCTGGTGCCAGCCCTCAGCATGTGGATGCTGCCCATGGAGCTGCCTCCCGGGCACCACACAAAGAGACCCTGCCATGGGCAAG